GCCACCAGAAATCCTGCAGTTGCCGATGACGTGGATGCTAGACAACCAGAGGAATTTGATTCGGCGCATTACATCTATATATCTTCTTATGATCAGTACAGCCCGAGCTTCATGACATTTGCAAAGCTTGCGAACCAGAAGGCTGTACTAGGCTGCTAAAAAGAATCTAAAGGTGGAGGCGCATGCAATCTGTATTCAGGGATTTTCCCGACTTCAGCCCATGGGTCTTCAGTTGTGGAACAGAAGATGAAATGCAGCAAAAGCGCGAAGTGCGCCTCTTCGTCGGCCTGGCCTTTCGCCTGCTGAGTCTTTTGGGCTGTCAGATGCCTTCACTTGATCCCGATGATCTCGAGGGTGCTAGCCAAGCGATAGGTGAACTGGAGCAAACGACCGCTTACCGCACACTAGCATTTGCTCACACACTCCGTAGCAAGGAGCCAAAACTATGCTGCGTAACATCGCAGTAGCGAGCTGAGTGCCAGCATCCCGGCTGCATGCCTAGGAACGTAAGTCTCTGCGCTTTTTTCAGAGACTACACTCGCCAAGGTTCAAGCCCCCGAATCAATGTGTGCAATGAAGATCCTTGGGGTTAGACAGGCCACGCTGAAGCTTCATGGGCACAAAACCCTCAGCATATGGCCCTGATGCAAGACGTAGAATTTCTGTATACCTTTGTAGAACACGGGGTAGTCCACAATAAATTTTGAATTGCTCAGCTACCAGTCTGAACAGTGTCGTTCTGACTGTTACACTTCATCTGTAGGTAAGCTAGGCTAGCAGCAGAAATGTCTGCTTGGCTCAGATGAGTTCCACGTGTGCCCACGGTGTTCTGCTGTGCGCCGATGATGCTTCTCCAGACTCCAGGACGGGAACATAGTCTGCTTATATACTGGCTGCTGCAAAAGGTCTGCTTCTTGCTCGGGAAACACCGGCTCAGTGCATCACCAACGTATACATGAACGCATAGTCTGAGGCTTAAGTATATGCGCAGAGCCCCGAGCAGATGACAGCAGATGCACCAGGCAAAATACGCATGCGCAAGTGGCCACCGAAACAGCAGGCAAGGTTAACGTCAGCTACCGGTGTACAGACATGCATGCTTTGGGGCTTTTCTCATTGCGTATGAAACATTGGCAGCGCAGCTGGCAAAGAAATCTCGCCTCTCCTTCGCCCCCCCGGCCTACCCTTTTGAGGCTTCTTCCGCAACAACCGACGCAGCTAGCCCAATCGTGAGTAACCAGGCTGCAAGCAGAACGGAAAAAGCTGAGCAGAGCCAAGAGGCAGTGATAGCAGCACGCGAGACAACGCAACGAATGCGCAGTGTACGCTGAGCAACCAAAAGAGAGACTGACACCTCCCCAATGCAGGCTCCTGTGCATGCACTCAGGCGGGCACTGCAGCAACGGCTGAAGCTGGGACCTTAGCATGCAACGGAAGCGCAACAGCACCACTTTCTGAGGTCAGTGCCTTGCACCTCTTCTCTACCTGCCTATACACCTCAGACTGCCTTTGCGAATGCCTCTAGGGATCTCTCGGTGACAGGGAGTTTGCCGGTACTCTACTTAGTCAGGTGCCAATCGTTTCTTTTAATAGAAATAAAATGTTTACTTCATTATAATATAGACGAATACATACATACACACACACACATAGATATACATACATACATATTTATATGTATATATATATATATATATATATATATATATATATATATATATATATATATATATATATATATATAACTTATAATATATAATAATTCTGTATGTTTCTCTTCACTATGGCATGAAGAAGATAAGCGATGAGGAGCTGGTGCGGGCAGAGGAGCGGCTGTGGAGCATGTCAGCTGTGGGGGCTGTCGGGGGCCCGTGCAGCTGTCCTGGGGTTGTGTGGCGACAACACTACCGCGCGTTGAAGTCTAAGCAAGCTGAGCTTCAGTGTCACACTAGAAAGCTCCGAGCTGTTCTGCCAGGCCTGGCAGAGGAAAGCAAACGCCTCATTGCAGAACTGAAAAGCAAAGGCGAAGAAGTTCGCGACGCCTTTCCTGACATCGTCAGCTGCATGTACACCCGAGCCCAGAACCAGAACCAGATCAGTTTCTGAACCAGAATACTATAGCTCCAGATACAACATTTTCTTAAGTGCCTCACAGGCAATACATACACCGCTTTAATACAGAAAAACACGAGACAGAGGCAGAGAGGAGCAACACAGAAACATATACAATTCAAGTACATCATTGATCTACTATATGTCTACAGTTTCCTGAGCTTGAAGATGTAATGCGGCAACGAGCAGCTGAGGAAGAGAAGCAGCAACAACTACGTTCTGAAATTGAATCTCTAAGTAAAGTGCTGGAGGCCAGCGAAGAGCGTGTAAAGGAGGCAACAGAGAGCCTCGCAGCTGCCACCCGTCTCCGCGTTTCTTCTCAGCCTGCTGCTTCTCTCGCCTCTGTACTCACATCTCTACAGGCAAGCAACATGAAAGACACACAAACGCATGCAACCTGCATGCATGCATGCGTTCGCGGCATACTCATGAGCAATCGTCAGCGTCAGAGAGACAGATACATAGTCAAGGAAACAGAAGCTGAGGCAGAGACAGATACATATATATATATATATATATATATATATATATATATATATATATATATATAAACAGAGCCAAACAAAAAAAGAAGCAAGTATAGAAACAGTGTCTCCAGACGGATCGCACTAACACAGATAGTATATTCTTTTCTTATATGCGCGAAGGAACGATCAGGAGCTCCTTAAGGTGCTCCTGTGCTGCTGCTGCTGCTGCTGCTGCTGCTGCAGGCTGAGCTGAAGCAGCTGGAAGTCCGGGCAGCTATTCTGCGGCATGCATCAATCCAGGTAGGTTATTTGGGGGTTTCTGTTTGTTTTTTTTTTGTTCAAGTTTGTTTATGTGCGAATCAACCTGCAAAAGATGCAGCAGAACTGAGCTGCAGCGGCTGCTGTGCTGCGGAGGGGGCCCTGTAGGGCGCCCCACGTACACCTTAGCTTTGACAGATGCCGAGCATTCGTCCGTGAAACTAGTACACGCAGAAGCAGCAGCCACAGCAGCCACAGCAGCAGCAACAGCAGCAGCAACAGCAGCAGCAGCAGCAGTAGTAGTTGTTGTAGCTGCCCACAGAAGGCGGTGGCGTGCACCGCTTTGGGCTCTCGCTAGTGTTTCTGGGTGTGATGCAGCCATAGTAAAGATAATACTAGCAACTGAAGTGATATATTATGCATGCAACTTTTATTGTAATACTAAAGAGAACGAACACTGCTGCGTACAGGCTCAACCAGACCCTGCAGCAGAAGCAGCAGAAGATGCTGAAGAGATCCCTACTCTGGATTGAGGAGTTGTATTGTCTGCTCTGCTCTGTCGATACACCGCAGCCCGTCTCTGTCTCTTTCTGTATAAAATATAAACCCCCTCTAAGTATATATCTCCTTTACCTCTGTCTCACCGGTATGCAGACAAAAGGGAAGAAAGCAATACAGCTGTGCTGTCTGTACACGCAACGAACTTCATACAAAGATGAATACTCAGCCTACTGAATATTTTTTTATAGAATATTTTTTCTGCAAATCTAATAAAACTGGGGGGACCCACCCATATATATATATATATATATATATATATATATATATATATATATATATATATATATATATACAGAAGGGCCGTGCTGCTGCTGCTGCTGCTGCTGCAGTGCTGTTGCAGCAGCAGAAGTGCTGCAGCATCTGTTGCAGCTCAGCAGCAGCAGCAGCTTTTTGTAAATCAACTGCAACACAAATAGCAGCCAGAAAGGGCCCAGGGTACGTGTCAGGGCAGTAAAGACAGGGTAAACAGAGGGTATTTAGGAGCACAGAAGAGCCGCAATAAAAAATATTATTAAAATATATATATTAATATATTTTAAAGAAGAAATTCAACAAAAGTTGCAGTACCTGAAACAGGCAATCGACCACCTGTATTCTACCCACCTATGCCTGTACCCAACACATACTACTGTTGCCAGCCTGCAGCTTTTACTTGTATATTTCTTTGATTAAAACATTTTAAATTAATATAATATATTTATAATTATTTTGTTTATTTATTTGTTGATGCGCACTCGGTGGGAGAGGCAAAAACGAGCAGTTTATGCTGAGAAAGCAATGATATGAGGACCCGATACTCTTGCGCCCATGTGGGCTGCCTGCGTCGCGCTAGCTGTGCTCTTTGCATGAAAAAAAGAGAGAAAATAAAGAATTAAATATATTTAGAGTTGAATAAATATTTATTTAATTATATTACTACAAAAAAAACACAAAAAACCACAAAAAAAAATCTATGCGGGACCCCACGATAACAGCCACTGGCCGACAGAGCCAGGACGGCGGGCACGTGAGGCACCACCCAGCAGCAGCTGCAGATTGCAGTGTATGGACGATGGAAATAATGAAACAAAATATAAATAAATGTTTATAATAATATTTAATTAAAAAAGAAGAACAAAGGAGGGGGGGTTTCTCTTGCCTGTTTCCTCCTGTCGCTGGGGCGCCTCCGCACGGCCCACACAACACACCAGACGCAGCGGGCCCCTACAAATATAAGAAGCAATAGAAAGAGCGTTTGCTTTGTTTTATCCTTTTGAGCTGTATTTACAGTTTAAATTGATTTGTTTGTGGTAGAGCGGGTGCCTATCCGCGGCATAAGCCTTACAAAGACTGCCGCAGCAGCAGCAGCAGCAGCAGCAGCAGCAGCATGGTTGCTGCGGCTGTCTTCCTTTTCTTTGTCTAAGCAAACATCAGCAATGAGCTGATGCGCCTCTCCCCGCTTCTTCGTCTCCCCTAGTGGGTAGAAAGGCAGCTGGTGGGGCTTTTGTTGTTCTTATAATCCGCAGCAACAGCAGCCACGCGGCTGCTGCTAGGGTTTCGTTGTTGCCTCTCTTTTATATATTTCTTTGGTTCTGCTAGCAGCCACGCTGCTGCATACTCACAATGGGCTGCAGCAGGGCGTATCCATCGCTGCTGTTGCTGCTTCCGGTTGTTCCAACCGCAGCAGCAGCTGCAGCAGCAGCAGCAGCAGCAGCAGCAGCAGGAGCTGCAGCAGCAGCAGAACCATTGACTCTTACAGACGCGAGCTTGCAGGACCTCACAGCCACGTCTTGGGGAGACAGCCGCGCGAGGGAGGATTTGGGGGTTTCTTCTGTGGGTACTTCTGACTATGCAGCTCTGAATGAAGAGAGCCTGCAGCAGCAGCAGCAGCAGCAGCAGCAGCAGCTGCTGCTGCAGCATGAGGATGAGCAGCAATATGAGCAACTGCAGCAGCAGCAGCAGCAGAAACAACAAGACAACAAAACTTCTATAGACGATAGTAACCCGATGTTTATACAGCTCCCCCCAGAACTAAACAACAGCACATACAGTAAACCACTGCATGCAGCAGATGGGGCTGGCATTGACCCTTCATCTCGCCCGCGCCCTCTTAAGAGGTTTATGTTGCTGCTTGCAATATTAGGTTTTGGTGCAGCAATGTATTTTCGTGGTGTAGCAGCAGGCCAGAAGGCTTTACTCGACGCAGTACAAACAGGGGTAGGGTTGGGGGCCCCTGGGGCCCCAGGGGCCCCCATAGCTGCCCTGGGGGGGGGGCCCCCAAGCCAAAAAGGAGAGATTGCGAGGGCCCAAGCCCTCGCTAAGAAATATGATCTGAAGGGCCTCCATAGAATACAAGATGCAGCTGAAAGTTTATCTTTTTTTTTGCGTTCTGCCGGCATGGAGAGAGAAGTATTAATATTAATAGAGAAAGCAAATACAATAGAAAAAGATATAAATTATTTATCGGGTTTAGATCCTTTATACTATCAGCAGCAGTTGCTGCAGCAACTGCAGCAACAAAGAGAAGAACAAAAACAGCAGCAAGAGGTTGCACATAGACTGCTACATGATAGCATGCAGCAGCTGCTGCAGCTCACCAAAACTATACAAGCCAATGCATGCTGCTTTGCTGCACAGAGAAGCAACGAGATTATGCGGTATGAGGGTTTTTTAAATAGTGCATATGAGGCCTCATTGGTGGTGAGTAGAGAAGAAAGAGAAAAAAAAAACTTTATAAGTGTGCAGCAGCAGCTGCTGCTGCACTCTGCTGCTGCAGCACAACAAACTGTGCTGCTGCAGCAGGCAAGAGCTCAGCTGCAGCAACTAAGAAAACAACCTCTAGATACTATCACGGATATTGCTGCTATGCTGCAGGCTTGTGCTGCAGCAGCAAAGCAGGTACATACAGCAGCAGAAACAGCAAGCAGCCACGCCAATGAAGGAATGGAGCTGCTAGAGGTACTAACTGACCATATAGGTGATGTGCTGCAGGAGATGCAGAGACAGACAGATACACTGCGTCTATCGGAGGCAGCAGCAGAGATGGCGAGGCCCTATATGACGCAGCAGGAGCAGCAGCAGCTGCTGCATGCACGCGAGTGTATAGACACCGCAATAGAAGAAATACAAACCCTCAAAGATATACGAACCACCGTAAACCCTTACACACCGGGGCCCCTCACCGAGGCGCTGCAGGAGCTGCGCGGCAGAACAAAGGCACTGCAGCAGGAGCTTAATAACCTAGAGAGTGTATTTACTCCTTTTGTTGAGCAGCTGCTAGCACGAGCAGCAGAAAGCACTCACACTTAGGAATTATGCAGCAGCAAATGATGCAGCTGCAGCTGCAGCAGATACAGCTGACGCAGCAGCAGCAGGTGCAGCAGCGGGGGCAACAGGGGAGGTGCAGCAGCAGATGCAGCAGCAGATGTAGCAGCAGATGCAGCAGCAGATGCAGCAGCAGATGAAGCAGCAGATGAAGCAGGAGGTGGGGCGGGAGATGCAGCAGCAGATGCAGCAGCAGATGCAGCAGCAGATGCAGCAGCAGATGCAGCAGCAGATGCAGCA